GGCAGCACCATCTGGAGATATTGCAAAGCTAAAGGCAAGTACATAAAATTTGTCAAGTGCTGACAGTAAGTAAAACTGTTTATATGATGATGATCATAAATCATTTGCTTTGTAATTTTCAAGATAGTGAAATATAAGATGGTTCATTATTAAATTTAAAATTGTTAACATGGTACTAAATGATTGTTCATATGAGTTAATGTAGGTTATGCAATTTATATGTAATGCATTGTGTGTATATGCATCATATTTGGAATGCAACAGTTAGTAGACCTCAAAATAATGAATATTCTCTCTTCTTTCTCCTTCCCAAAGGTACCGTTTGCCCCGTCTGGCTTCAAGGTTCGCTACCTCAAGGTGTTTGAGTCGAAGCTCAACTATTCTGACCATGATGTAATCAAATGGGTGCGCTACATCGGACGGTCGGGACTCTACGAGACCAGATGCTAATGCCATGTAGCTTGGTTTATGTCGAGATCAGTAGTTCATGGTACTCTGCAGCATTGCTGTTATATATATATATATTTTTATTTTTTATTTTATTTTTATTTTATTTAGTATTTTTAAAAATTATTTATTATTATTATTATTATTTTTATGAGATAGGTATTTGGCTGGCGAGCTATTCCATTTATTTGACCATATTTAAATGTTATGATTCACCTATATTTCTTTTTCTTGCTTTAGAGGGACAGAACAAAGTAATTTGCCACTAGTGTCTAATTACATAGTTTCACAAGTTAATTTGTTATAAAGCATTGGAAATTTCTTTCATTGGTAAATTAGTGGTCACATGTATTCTTTCTAGTAGTCGTAATTTTTTTATTTTGGCAGGTAGCATATCAAAGTCAATGATAGATCAGAAGATCATATCCAGAATGAAAGTCGTCATTTACTTTGTTTTTTATTATTTTCCGAAGTTGTTAGCCAAGTTTAAACCGACGTAAGATGTGTTCATCGAGAACAATAAGAAGATAGGATTAGAGGTTGTTGTTATTAGTAGTTGTTCATTAATTGCATGTGTAAATATATATAATATAGATTTATTTAGTCATTTAATTTTTATTTGAAAACTATAGGTTCATTTATCAGTTATGATACCAGTGTAGAATTAGCCAGTGAAGTTGATAACTATGGACATTCCCCCCACTTTGTCTAGCAGTTTTTTGTTTTGTTTTGTCTTTTTCCTTCAGTATTGTCATGTATCTCCGTCATCATATTGTGGAGGATGTCACATCCACAGGTGTTCCATGTTTATATGGTAAGAAAACGATAGGTGTGAGAAAGATGGTGGATTTTGCTAAATGACTTTGAAAAAGTGTTCTGTCAAAAATAATTGAGAAGTCTGTTGTTATGTTTGTCTGTTTTTGTTGTTGCTTACAGTAGACTGTTTGGAAAATGAACATTTTTATCATATATATTTTTTTTATTTAAAGGATTTATATTAATGTTAAATGATTTGGAGGAGAAAAATATTTGATCAACATCTCAAAAGTTTTACCTTGATTTTACATGGCTTGGTTACTCCCAAGATTGTTTACATAAAATCTCTTATTGCATGTGTTTTGATTTATATTAATTGCTTTCTAACAGTGGGCAAAAGAAATTTACTTTCCAATCCTTCTAATTGGGCTTTAAGGCATCTTCTCCTTAACATTAGATATTTTTTATTTATTTATTAATTTTCTTTTCGTTTGTTTTTGCTTTGGCATGGTAAGACATAGCTTTGGTGTAATGTGACTAAAAAATGAGCAGTGGAAGTTTGGCTGATACCTTTTAACAGGTAACCTCTTCTCTCTGTCGGCCAGGCAGTTTTATCAATTCTTAATTATTATTATTATTATTATTATTACTACTACTATTATTTTAATTTCATTAGTTTGAATATGAATAAACAAAAGAGTAGATCCTTAGAAAAATGAAATACAAAAGACTAGAACCTTTTCTAAATGCATTTGTAAGATTCATCATACAAAACGGTTATATATATCATTATTTGACTTAGTGCCCATGAATCAGAATTCAGGGTAATTATACATTACTTGTCACATGATAATTCCAATAGTTGCAGTTTATTATGAGATTTTTCTCCTCTGATAAGACAAAAGAAAAAAGTTGCATGGTTCTTGCCTGGTCAGCATGAATTCTGCCAAACTGTCGAGTCCCGGCTGGCCGATGTTGTGCGCCCAGGTGATGACGTCATGGTCTATTTAAGTTTCAGGATGGCAGTGATTTTATTATCATTATTATAATTATTACTGCATTTTCCAAAATTGCCCCCATCACCTTCCAAGTGTATTGATCCATCTCTTCTCTTACGTGTGGGTTGGCATAACCTGGCTCGTGACCCCCCTTTTCCCACTACCATCACCACCATGTTTTGATGGACCTCAGCCTTGATTTACAACCGCTGGTCATGTAGTTTTAGAGGAACAAAAGTACTCCTCCATGTCTTGTGCCTTTTATTATGATCCTTAATGTGGTGATGTAAAAGTCTGTGGGTGTGATGAATGTGGAAATTTGTTATGCCATAGGTTTGGAGGGAAGGTTTCCATGGAATAAAGACTATTGATTGTTGTAGAAGTGTGATGTGAATCATTTAACAACAACAACAACAAAAAGTTTGTATCCAAGGACAAAAATGTTTAGGATGTTTTGTAAACTTGACAAAATTATGGTATTTATGATATTGCCAAAATTTATAACTAAATTTTTTTATAAAGTGTATTGCATTTGCTGTGAAAACTTTTGAATCATTTGATTATTTGTCAATATTTTGGTCTTGGTTCAGTCTATGTCAGTAATAGATAATAGTAATATGATGAGATTTAAAAATAAAACCTACTTATTTTGTATATAACAAGATGTTCCTTTTCAAGTAGAATGAAGCACTACTAGTTTTATGACGAACAAGTAGAATCAAGTGTGCTGTAATCTTAACAATTATTTCTGAAAATAAGAAATCCAATGGTAAAGTGAACAGCTGAATTACCTTTTCAGTTTTCCACAACTCTTAACTTGTATTTTTAGCAGATGATGGATCACCAAGATTTTTTTTTATATATACACAAAGAAGAATGCCAAGACAAGTGTATCACTGACTATATAGTCTTTTCTTTTGAAATTTGGTACAAAAGTGCATTGCAAGTTTTCTTCTATTAAAACTTTGACACTGAACATGTCAAGTAACAATAGGAATGAATGTTCATTAGCCCATAAAATGAGATGGATTATAAAAGAAAAAAATATATATTCTAATTAAATATATTTAAACACTGTTGAGAAATACTTTCCTCTTCAGAGAAGTTTTTACTAATTTTACTTTCTGAAATGTTTTTCAGATTTTTACCTTATCAAGCAAATGCTACAAAATTATATCCTCTGACTGGTGTGGCTTTCTCTTTCTTACTAATATTAATACTAATAGGTAATAGGCAATTAGGCAAACAGGTAGACTTGGTGTTTGCTTTGCATGGGAAATTCTTAGTGGAGAGACTTGCTTTTTGAAATTTAGATCATAACATCTTGAAAGGAGAGGCTGACTGTAGTTCTGCTTTAATGGGTACAGGAAATATATCCATAGCAGTCCAAACTTTCACCTTCTATATATACAGATGTAATATATTATGCCATGAGGAATACAAGGACAGGCAGACCCAACGCAGACAAGAACTCAAATTTACACACCGATATTCACATATGCACATTTATTTATTTGAAAGTCCTCAGCTCTTGAAGTTTGCATACATAAACAAAGCAGCCATGACAGAATGCAACACGACATAATCATCCAATATATTAATTTCAGGAAACGTGTCTTGGCTGTTACCCATATTCCCCCCCCCTTTTGTTTTCTCACTCTTCTACTTTTGATATCATCTTGGTGTGGTATAACCAAGCACAGTATTTGGACAAAATCAGGAAGTTAATCATTTCTGTGTGAATTATTTAATAGTGTTTATTTAATCCTCTGTAGAAAGGTCATTTTTCTCAGCTGGGACTAGTCATGTCTTTGCTAAATTATTTGAAAATGGTGTGGCTAAAGATTCTGAAATGAAACAGTATTGTGTTCTCAGCCAGTTTTCTTGGAAAAAAAAGAAGACATGGAAAAATGAGTGAGAGCGACCAGTTTCACAAAGCAAGTGATGTAACTGACGCATATTGATGTTACATTGCTAACAAAATTACGTTATATTATTCTAATGGGAATGCAACATTAAAATGTATCAGTTACACCTTTTTTTGTGATGTTTATTTGTTCTCAACCATACTACTTCCACGTTTGTCACAATAAAGTCTGTTGAAAGAATCACATCTTTAATGTTTTCATGAAAATGAATGAAATTGTATTTTATTTTAATACCAAGTAATTGGTATACTGTAGTTACCATCAGTAACTCCTTTCATAATCTGAAAAAACATTTTTCATGTGTTATCGTACAAAGAAATGTTATCAGGAATTACATGAAGAAAATGATACAGTAAAATGAAATGGACTAGAAACATTCTCGGGTGTTGGTGCTGCTGAATGGAATGAATGAATGTATTTTCTAGTTACACCTTTATACATTTTATCATTTTTTTAACCATAAATAGCCCGGAACAAAGCTTTAGTGCTGAGGCCACAACAGAGTTTAAGTGAAAAACTGTTGATCCAAATTTTCAGAAAATGGCACTAATGCATTATGAGGTAGAAATAAATTATCTTTATAAAAAGAAAAAATAATAGAGGTAATTATTCCACTCCTCCAGTGTGTTGCAAAAGTATATAAAACACGGGTAAGTGCATATTGATACGTATTGACGTGTTTGATCCTCTCTAGACATAGAAAAAAACAAAAAACACTTCTTTTTACATTAATACACTGTCCAAAGAGGATGCCATAGTGGTTTCGAAGCATCATGACATGTCAGTTCATGCGGTTCTGTTTTGTTTTACGTGGTATATATTTTATTCGGAATTCTAGTGTTTAAAATTGATAAGAAAACGCGTCCCCCCACTCCCTTGTCCGTTGTTGTAGGGGGGCTTAGGAGAAGAAGACTGGGACCCAATGCAGGGACACCCACTGTCTAGGGTCTCAGCCCTCGCCTCAACTAATTTTGCATGGTCTTTTCCCCACCAGCTTTTGTTTCCGTCTCTTCAACCCCTTCTACTATCTACTCCTACTTCCTGAAAGGATGAAAGGCTGACATTGTGCCAGTCCTGAACGGCCTGCGGGAACTATGAGCACGGTACTCCCGATTTAATTGTCTAGTCCTTACCTTGAAGTGCATGAGGGTGGACCGTTTATGCCGTTTTATATAATCAAGGTTCCCTTCACCGACCTCCCAACATATCAGACATCCTTACAGAATCCCACAACTTCTGCCTTGACAACCTGTTCTTCCTCAGATGCATAAATATCCTTCACTTGATCAAACTCCCTTACCTAAACCACCATAACCTTTTCCCTCATTTTCAACCTTTCAACACTATTCTAGATAGTTGACACATACCAACTATCACCTGACATCCCCCTGTACTATACCTTCCTATAGTGCTATATGACCTTAGAGGTCTAGCACATTTATTTTTAACCATTAACCATTATAATCAAGGTTCCCCATGACCAGTAATGAAGACGTAATCCCCTTATTAGGGGCAATGAGGCTTGCCCCTTCATCAAATAGCCCCACCCCAGGCTCTCCTTTGACCACGACTCCGAACACTGAAACTAATACCCACTCCTCAATGCCTACTAGTGCATTACTCACCCAAGCAGAGAATCAATCTCCAGAAGACATTCCTACCCACCCAACATCCTCAAATTCATCAACTCTACCCCCGCAACCTTCATCACGCACCCAATCCTCCCTTATTACTACCTTACAACCTTATTTTCCATCATTCCGTAATACTCCCTCTTCCACACGTCCCCGACTATCCACCACCACCAACCCTACAGATATCTTAAATACTCTGTTTGGCCCAGCCAGATGGGACCGATTTTTCGTGATCCCTTCAACAGCTCCTTACTCAGGCAACACTCTTCTCTTTCAACAATGCCTCCAAAAACAAGTAGGCAGAGTCCCTTTCTATACCAGACGCGATCGCTCCCGTCTTGTAACAGTCAGATCAGAAACTGAATATATAGCACTATCAAATTTAACTGATCATTCTGGCAACCCCATTCCTGCAGAACCTCATCCAACCCTTAATACCTGTACCGGAACTCTCACTCTCCCCAGCAAACTGCCCAGTCGATACCAAAGATTGGTCAGACTGTGGAGAAGACTTATTAGGATGCCTCAAAGACCAAGATGTGAAATCAGTACATTGCTACACCATTCCTCCTAAAGGTCAACGAAAGAATCCGAATGCCAAAATTACCTTCCGTACACATGACCTTCCCTTACGTATCTACATCGGTGGACAATCCTTCCCTGTTCGACCATACCAACCCCCTCCCCGTCAATGTCAAAACTGTTGGCGTTTTGGACATCCTGCCAAACATTGCCGTTCCACAGACCGATGCCCCATATGTGCCCAACCTGGTCATGACCGATCAAACTGCTCAGCACAAACACGAACATGTGCTAACTGCGGCGACCTCCATAATGTATTTTATAGAGGCTGTCCCATTTACAAGTTGGAATCTGATGTAGCAACTCTCAGATACAAAAATGGTCAGACAGGAAGCACGTCGACAAGTTTTCTCTCATACTCCATACTCTAGTAATATCGTTCGCTCAGCCCCTCCCCCTCCACCCCAAGATGTCCCCATTTCCACTTCTACATTCTATCCCCTCAGACCAATTCCTTTGCCACTCTAAACCCCAGACACCCAAATTTCAACCACAGCTCCAATCTCAACTACAGCCCCAACCACTTCTACATTCTACCCCCCTCAGACCAATTCTTTTACCACTCTAAATCCAGACACCCCAATCTCAACCACAGCTCCAATCTCAACTACAGCCCCAACACCACCCCCTCTCCCTCCCCACACTACCCGCAGTAGACAGACTAAACGTTCTAACCCTTCTTCCCCTACAGCACAATCACCTCCACCTACCTTTACCTTTATTCCTGAGAAACCAATCTCCTCTTCCCCCCCCCCCTCATAAGAAACCTTTAACCCACAAAAAAAAACCAACTCCACTGCAGAAAGAATTACCTTCCCACCAAACTCTCCAACCAATTCCACTGCAGAAACAATGGATGACATCCAAAGTTATATGCTTAAGACACAAGATCCCATAACTCGTGCTCCTTCCACATTTGAAGTGGTTGCCGATATTCATACCCCTCCTACTAATATTCCCCCTACACCCCTTCCTCCTAATTCCTCCAAAGACAGCACATCCCCTTCAACTCCAACTATCCATCCTTCCGATACCCATCCTCCTACCACTAATACTCCCCCACATCTACTCCCTCCCAACACAACCCAACCCCTTCAACCCTAACTATAGCACATTCTCCCTCCCTCCATCCCCTCTATCCTTTGCACTCCCTCCCGGATACACACGAGAATCACTCCTTTACACCCCCTAGGTCCTTCCCCTTCAAATTCCCAACACGTACTTGCGTTAACATTCGTAAATCAACTAAGAAATAGCTCTCCTACATTGGAATATTCGCGGTTTCCGCTCTCATAGACCAGACCTACGTCATATCCTTGCTTCTTATAATCCATCTATTATCTGCCTCCAAGAGACTTTTCTCGCACACCCTCCTATTCCAATTCCCAATTACCATTTTATCTCTTCCCCACACTCCCTTTATGTCTCGTCTACACTTATCCATCATAAAACACCTTATGTCATACCTCCCATACAAACTACTGTCCCGTGCACAGCTATTCGCATCTTTCTTCGCCGCTGGATCACAGTGATTTCAGTCTACTTCTCCCCATCCCATCCCATTGACTTTGCTGCCTTTGAAACTAATTTCCCAACTCCAACCACCTTTCCTCGTAGTTGTGATTTCAACTGCCGCCACACTCTGTGGGTGACTTTACCCAACTCCGAGGCCGATCTCTAGAACGCTTCCTCTTCACAAATAACCAATTATTCTTAATTCAGTGACAACTTCCAGTACTCCTTCTCCTACTTCATATGTACCACTTCCTAATCCTCCACGCTGGTGCTTTGATAGAGCTGACTGGCATACTTTCACTTCACTGTCTACTATACCTATCCCTCCACCCTCCTTACCGTCCATTTCAGATATGCTACAATGTTTTACAACCACGATCCTAAGAGCTGCCTATACAGCCATTCCTCGAACTTCAAGGCCTTATACCTGTAAATGTGTTCCATGGTGGAATTCTGATTCCACCAAAGCGCTTCGCTTAAAACGAGCAGCCTGGAACGGCTATCGCTAGAAACGAGTCACCCCTCACCAGCTATCAGCCCTCATTTCCTTTAAAAGAGCATCTGCCCATCTTCGCCGTACAATTAGAAACAGCAAAACAAATAGCTGGCAAAATTATGTTTCCTCAATTACATCTACATCTGTTTGGCGACGGAACCATAAATTATCAGGCAACCCCCCCCCCCCCATCCTGCACCCGTCCTCCATATTCGAGATACTCTCATCTCTGAGCCTGTCGAAATAGCTAATGAAATGGGCAACTATTTCAGCCAGGTCAGTGGTGGCTCTCACCTATCCCCACACTTTTCTTCCATTAAAACCATCAAGGAACGCACCCCTATTACCTTCACCCTATCCTCTGATGAGTCCTATAATGCTCCTTTTTCTTCTTCTGAACTCAACGCTGCATTACAGTCGTGCCGCAACACTCAAGGCTCTGATGGTATTCACTATCGTATGCTCCGACACCTCCCATCTTCCTCTCTATCCTTCCTTTTAACTATTTTCAACCACATATGGATGTCAGGAAACTTTCCTTCTCATTGGCGAGATGCTCTTATCCTACCTTTCTTAAAACACAATAAATCAGGTACCCTACCCCAAGATTACCGCCCCATAGCTCTAACTAGCTGCTTGTGCAAACTACTAGAACGAATGGTTAACTTCCGCTTAATGCGGTACCATGAATCTCATAATCTCCTTTCCCCTTCCCATTTTGGATTCCGACGTGCCCGAAGTACAGCAGACCCACTTGCCCATTTTGAGACATACATTACATCGGCATTTGCACGCCATGAATCCGTATTAGCCATATTCTTTGATCTAGAAAAAGCATATGATACCACATGGCGATAGTATATCCTTCAACGATTGTCCTCCTT